TTATCCTTGTCCTCCTCGTCTTCATCGTCATCATGTGTAATGGCATCGTCCTCGTCCTCCACGTCCTCCTTATCCTTGTCCTCCTCGTCTTCATCGTCATCATGTGTCAATTCATCGTCCTCGTCCTCCACGTCCTCCTTATCCTTGTCCTCGTCTTCATCGTCATCGGGAGGTGTCCTTTCATCGTCCTCGTCCTCCACGTCCTCCTCGAACCCATCAACGTCATCATCGATACACTCATCATCTACTTTATTGATAGGCGTCCGTTCATCTAAACGTCTCAGTTTGAGAGATGGCTGTAGCCATTTTGCATTTCTGATGACGGACATAGGCAATAGATTGGACACATAGTTTTCCTCCAGCATTCCACTAACTGTAATTATCTCCTAGAAATGAAAAGGAAGTTTTAGCATGCATTTGAACAATTTGATTTTAAAAAATTACTAACAGTGTTTAATGTTGTTGCATCGATCTGTACCGATGTATTTCGAATAATAAAAATAAATACCTCGTCATCACTTCCGGAGTCTTCTCTACCACTCTCCGATGCCATGATAGTATTTCCTGAAAAAAAAGAGCTGAGGTTAAAGCCTTATCTGTCAATTTTTATTAAAAATCTTAACCGCTTTTATCTATATCTTTTTGGGAATCATTCCTACCTGGAATGATTCGGCAACATATATCCATATGTACAAGCACCAGTTTGAACCAGGAGGGATCTGGGTCTACAATTCGTAGACTATTTTCTTCCTGTCCATCCACCTCAGGAGAGCGTCAGCGTCTCTGCGGCGGATGCACAGAAAGAAGCATACATTTTCCATACATATTTTATTCGTACATTTTAAAGCATACATATTTTCATAACTCTCAAAAATGTATATTTTCNCAGTAGCATATTATCAACCATAATAGCATATCTCTAACCCTAACCCTAACCCTAACCGCGCATTATGCTATTTTTGTAGCATATTATGCTAACTTAGTGACACTTATGTTAATATACATCCAACCCTAACCCTAACCCTAACCCTAACCACGGATTATGCTAAAGTGAACACATTTAAGCTAACCACGTAATATTTATGCTGATATGGTAACAAGTTACTATTTTAGCATGATGGTATTTCTAACAGCATAACAGTATCTACAGTAGCATATTATCAACCATAATAGCATATCTCTAACCCTAACCCTAACCCTAACCGCGCATTATGCTATTTTTGTAGCATATTATGCTAACTTAGTGACACTTATGTTAATATACATCCAACCCTAACCCTAACCCTAACCCTAACCACGGATTATGCTAAAGTGAACACATTTAAGCTAACCACGTAATATTTATGCTGATATGGTAACAAGTTACTATTTTAGCATGATGGTATTTCTAACAGCATAACAGTATCTACAGTAGCATATTATCAACCATAATAGCATATCTCTAACCCTAACCCTAACCCTAACCGCGCATTATGCTATTTTTGTAGCATATTATGCTAACTTAGTGACACTTATGTTAATATACATCCAACCCTAACCCTAACCCTAACCCTAACCACGGATTATGCTAAAGTGAACACATTTAAGCTAACCACGTAACATTTATGCTGATATGGTAACAAGTTACTAAGTTTACCCTATTGGGACCCGCCCCTCTGGCCCAAGGGGGTCGAGACCCACCGTTTATGCAAAATTGAAACCCCTTCACCTAAGCATGCTTCAGACCAAATGTGAACCATATCCTGCAATTCCTTCAGAAGGAGTAGAATTTTAAAGAATTTTCTAAGTTTACCCTATTGGACCCCAGGGGGCCTAGACTCACCGTTTATACAAAATTGAATCCCATTCACCTAAGCATGCTTTATGAAAATCTATTAGAAATTATTTACCTAAATGTAGTTTGTTTTCACATTTCTCTTATTATATTGCTGTTTTATATAAAAACATATTGATATCATCTTTTATTTTTAGATCAGTTATATCAGGGAAGTGGGGGAATCAGGGTACTCACCTGAACTTCTAAGAACTTCTTTGTCTTTAAAATACCGAGCATGTCATGGGTTAATGGTTTCATAAATTAAACAAAACAAGACCTAGTCATCTTTACGTGATAACTAGAAAAAACCGATAGCTATGCTTACCTTATCGACGGGAAAAATCGCGACCATAACCCATATCGCATGCAAGAATAAGTCAACAACAGAAAAATAAACACAACTTTATTTAGGAAACAAAAAATACAATAAATATCAAGACAAAAAGATAAATAACAATCAGCGAGGATTGTGGGTTGGGAATAATGGCACAAAATTCACGTTTTTTTAACTTTAAATAGAATAATGACTATAATTTTTAAACAAAACAGTTATATCTTATGTTTTCACCTTAAAACATAAAATATAATGCGATATTGTTCAAGGCAAACATCTTGTAGCTACACATTGCACAAAAACTTACCAACACTAACGTCTGTTGTCATCAGAGTCTTCTCTAGTAATGAGGAAATTACAAGCCGTAGGGGGTATACATCAACTTTTTTTGTATGGAGGATTTGCACCTTTTTCACTTTTTTGTTGCTAACACATTTGTTCAGCTAGGGTTAGATATCAGACTAGGCTATTTTTATAGATCTGTATCAAATAAAGCAGCATTTGAAATACCAAAGCAAAGAATTCGCTATTTTTTTAAAAATTTAAGTCAGAATTATTATTCGGTCGCAAAATACCAGTTTTATCCACTGACATAGGGTTAGGTTCATTTCA